CATACATAGATACATACATACATAGGTACATACATACATAGATACATACGTAGATACATACATTGATACATACATACATACATACATACATACATACATACATACATAGATAGATACATACATACATAGATACACACATATGTAGATACATACATAGATAGATACATACATACATACATACATAGATAGATACATACATACATACATACATACGTACATGCATGCATGCAGACATACAGACATACAGACATACAGACATACAAGCATAATACATCAATAGACATCTTTATGTGTATATATATATATACATGTATGTGCATAGATATTTGTATATATATATATATGTATATATATATACGGTTGTACATTGATACTGGGATATATACATACCAATCATACAAGATGCATGCATATACAGTCACACAAAGCATACTTAGATATAACTACTGTATGCCGAGTCTACTGGGCCCAGGTCACGAAACTGCGCATCATGTCCAGTTCCGGACGCATGCTGAGGAGTGCGGCAAGCTTACAGCTGACTCGGTAATGCTGCCTAGTTGTAGGTGCGTGTGCAGCACCCGAGGTCCAGAAGGCTTACGACGAGCTGCTGGAGCAGAGGGCACTGCTGCAGCGCAAGGCGTTGTTGGGAACTCGTGGCGTTTGCAGCCAGCCTCGAAAGCCAAGCTTGAAGGTGTATGGCTTGATGGTGACACAGAATCGGATGGCATCGCCTTTGGCGAATCAGGCACCAGCAAGTGTCGAGAGTGCGGGCATTTTCTTAAGAGCTGCGCCCTAAACCCCAAGAGGCTGAGTCCGAACAACCCCTTCCATTTCCTAAAGGATAAGCCCTAAATCCCAAAAAGGCAAACACCCTCAACAGTGAACCCCAGAACCCGGAGACCCAAACTCCGGCCCTGGGTGAGGTGTACGGACCGATCGATCCGGAACATGCTTCCACTCGCCGGTACAGGTCCCTGCCTTGGCCCGCCTTGAAAAAGGAGTCGCTCAGGGGTTTCGGGATTTGTAACAAGGATACTAATATCGGTTTAGGGCTTTAGGGTTTTAGGGTTTTAGGGTTTAGGGTTTAGGGTTCAAGACTTTGCGACACTAGCTTAAGGATCTTGTCCTTAAGCTAGTCTCGGTAATATGATGTGTTAACAAAGGCCCCCCCCTTGACATACTATGTGACGGACTCAGTTGCCATGTCTGTGAAGTCTCATTACTTGCCGACAGATGGCGCTAGATACTTTAGGGCCTGCAGGTCTTAGGTGTCGGTAGCTGTTCTTCATGGCTAAGCCGAAGCCATCCAGTCGCAGTAGCCTGAACTAGCAGCCCCCCCACTCACTCCAGTAAGACTAGCATTTATGAAGAGACGCTGTCCCACACCAAGGAAGCCTAGGACATCCAAACCAACCTTAGCGCTGAACTCCTCAAGCACTTTCTCAATTGTACTCTGAGCTGTTGAAAAGTTTCAACTGTAACTTCCCTGTTCCAAGTCCTAGATAGCTTCTAAGTGTAAGGAGTTCGCTCTAAACCCGACATCCTACTTTAACCTTTGGGATCCCAGTTTGCAAAGCTTTGTCAGCGGCTTCATATGGGCTAAGCCCTGAACCCTATGCGTCCCGGCTGGGCGGCCAGGCGCTACTGGATGGAGCAAGCCCCGTCCCAGCGCACCGTACGGGCGACCCAGGCTTCAGATAGCTTTTCGGGGCATTAGAGTTTGATGTTTCGCAGATCTTTCGCGGTATCAACCTTTTATGGGGTGTTGTTATTCAGGGCTTCTGTCTTTGCCATGCGCAGGTTCCTGGACCGCCTCCCGTTCTTTCGCCCAGCTCGTCTCAGCGTCGACAGAAGGCTATGTTGCTGGTGCGGCAGCAAATGGAGGGCACGGGAAGACAGAAACTTCCCTCCGGCCCACCGAATCCGCCACAGCCCCTTCAGCCGCCAGACAAGACTGGCGACCTGGACCGAAACTCGGGTGTCTTGAAAAACCTGTTCTTTTATGTTCATATTGCCGCAGATGTTCGAGCCCCTGCAGACGCCTTGAACCGCGTTGCAAGGAAGACCAAAGGGCGGGTCTACTTCTCTGCAGGAGACGCGGCCCGGATCTCAGAGTTAAAGAACAGACAGACTAACTCGGCCGAAGCTGCACCAAGCGAAGCACTAGAAAGCTGTCATGGTGAGCTTGACGATGATACGGCCAGAATTAGGAACAAGACATGAGTACGTTGGTAGTAGTCATGACAGGAGTCGAAGTGATAGCAGGGTTGGTCGCACTGGTCCAGTAATGGAAGGGGTAGTAGTAGCCATCGTCGTCGTCTTCGCAGCAGCAGTAGCAGCAGGATCAGCAGCGGGAGCAGCAAAAGGAGCAGCAGCTGCGGGAGGAGCAGGAGTAGTGGTAGCAGCAGCAGTAG